AACTAAGGGTGGAGAGAGACAGTAACCAGCCCAGGCATCTAATGAGGAATCCTACATAGCCAGATCATACACCTGTAACCTCCTAACTATGCCAGGAGAGTGGATCTTGCAACCAATCTTTACTGGGAAAACCTTCCCCTCCACCTGTCAGTCCATGGTTCAGAAGAATGTGCAAAGATGTTCCTGCCTCAGCCTTAACTGCTTCCTTTCAGAGCCTGCCTTGGGTATGGGGAGTTGTCTTTCCACTGTATTCAGTTTGGCCCACCTGCTAATTCCTGGATCTCTGGCCATCTATGTGCTTGTCAGCTGCAGATAGAGGTCAGTATGCTACCATTAGTGTAAAAATACTGGGGTGATAGGAGGAATAATACATACATGCACTTGTTTATATATCATAAACTATTACTGGAAGTATATGCGAGAAAGTAATAACATTAGTTTCTTAAGGGGAAGGAAACTAGGTACCTGGAGGATCAAGATGGGAAAAAATTTTTTTACTATATATCCTTTTGTATTTTAAAATTTTTGAATCATGTGGCAATATTGCCTATTCGAAGACTTAAATATGAAAAAGAAAATCAGAAGGAAAGACCTTTTTTGGTTATTGCAGTTTGTTCTGAATTACTCCTCAAAAGGGGACAAAGCTGGGTGGAAATGGAAAAACAAACTCTAGCCTACTATATCGTGTAATAAACTACTGCTAGTGCATTGCATGTTTATGATCTCTTTCCTCACCTAGATTATAAACTTCCTAGAGCACAGATTGGTACTCCTTTTGGTATCCTGTAGCATCTAACACAGTGTGCTTCAAAAAGTAGATGCTTAAAACATATTTGTTGATGATAATACCCAGTGCTAGAAATGAAAGGCTTTGTATCAACCCAGCCCTGCTCTCTCATTCACACCTCATGTGCAAGAAAACTTACCTTTTCCTGATGGATCCCTAAAGTGCAGGGTAGCAGAAAGCAAGCTGGGCTTTGTCAAGTACACATACAAGACTGATTCAGCCAGTAAAGATACAATGAGCCACTTCTAAATTCAAAGAGTTTATTACTCACATATACAGCAAAAGGAAGAATGCACAAAAGTGCCAGTTGCCTGTGGTCCTTGCCCCATATATCAAAAAAGACAATACAGTAGGCCTGCCCTATCTGTCAGTTCCACATCTGTGAATTCAACCTACCTTGAATGGAAAATATTCAGAAAAAAAAATTTTTTTAAAATACAACCAATACAGTATAACAACTATTTATATAGTATTTATATTGTATTAGCTATAAGTAATCTAGAGCTGATTTAAAGTACTATATGGTCCTAAAACACAGTGACTTAGAAACAAAAAAAAAAATAGTACAGTACTATTTGGAAGGAGGATGTGTGTGGGTTTTATGCAAATACTACACCATTGTATATCAGGAACTTGAGTATCTGCTAATTTTGGTATCTGCCTAAGGTCCTGGAACCAATCCCTGCAGATCCTGAGGGAAAACCATATTGAAACAAAATGGGCCAGATGACTGTGAGTTGTAGGATACCCATTGATGAACAGCTAATTATAGACTGTTGCCAAATAGTTTTTATATTCTGCAGTACTATTTTGAGAGGGATGGGGAGGAAGTCTCACACCTGACAGGCACTCACACTTGTAATCCCAGCAATTTGGGAGGTAGAGGCGGGAGGATTTCTTGAGGCCAGGAGTTTGAGACCAGCCTGGATGAGACCTCATCTCTACAAAAAATTTTTTAAAATTAGCTGGACATGGTGGTGCATTTGTGGTCCTAGCTATGCAGGAGGATCACTTGAGTCCAGGAGTTCAAAGTTACAGTGAGCTATGATCACACCGCTGCACTCCAACCTGGGCAACAGAGCCAGACCTTGTCTCAAAAATTAAGAAAAAAAGAACCTGGGGGCTGGGCGCGCCTGTAATCCTAGCACTCTGGGAGGCTGAGGCGGTGGATTGTTTGAGCTCAGGAGTTCGAGACCAGCCTGAGCAAGAGCAAGACCCCATCTCTACTAAAAATAGAAAGAAATTAATTGGCCAACTAAAAATATACAGAAAAAATTAACCGGGCATGGTGGCGCATGCCTGTAGTCCCAGCTACTCAGGAGGCTGAGGCAGGAGGATCGCCTGAGCCCAGGAGTTTGAGGTTGCTGTGAGCTAGGCTAATGCCATGGCACTCTAGCCTGGACAGAGTGAGACTCGGTCTGAAAAAAAAAAAAAGAAAAGAAAAGAAAGAAAGAAAGAACCTGGGAGGACAATGGAAGCTGTCTCCTGAGGCCTCTCCAGGGAGATGGCCATCAGGTCCTTATTCTGGGAAGATCACACAGCATTCTGCTAAAACTCAGATATGCTTCAGTTGGAGCCTTTGCCTATGTGGCTCATGTGGATGCGTGCAAGGTTGCCAGGATGCCATGGTGGAGATGTTCCCATACAGCTTTCTCAGGGGTTGAGGAGCCTACCTAGAGGGAGAAAATAAGACTGAAAACCAAAAAATCTGAATTCCAGTCTCTAGTCCAATCCATAATTGGCCATGTAACTTAAGTAAGTATTTTACTTCTCTGTGGCTCTTTTTTAAAAATACATGAAATAATATATTTTTTGTTTGTTTGCTTTGGGGGAGGGGTTCTATTTCCTCTCATTAGGACATAAACTGCATGAAAACAGGTATTTTGTCTATTTTGTTTACTGTTGTAGTCCCAGTGCTTAGATCAGTGACAGGCACGTGGTGAGACAGTATAGGAGGTGGACTTTGGCTACCTGCCTGAGCCTTGAGCCAAAGCTTACGTCCACACACAATACTGAACAAAAGGTTTGAAAATGACAGGGCACCCATTGCAACCATTGGAGCAGGGGGCCACCGGCCCCAGTCAAGGCCAGTACAAACTGGTTACCACCAAGATGAAGCCCAAAGTAGACTGTGCATAGACATTTTACGTCTTTTAAATACAAAAAATTACGCTCAAGGGCAGAGATTTAACATGCTAATGAGACATGCGTTTTATGAAGAAGTATGGTTGCTGGACGGGCAGCTGCTAACAAAACTTCACCTCTACATGCTATGATGTCAATGCTAGCATCAAACTTTCTCTACCCTTTAAAAGTTCCCCAGCCCTTTGTTCAGACAGCCAGTCTGGTTGCTCCTTAACCAGCACTGCTTTCCTTTTGTTCCAGCAAACCCCTCCCCGTCCCCCACAGAGCCTTGCCTGTATGAATTCTTTTATCCATCTTGTGCCAATTTCTATTGACTTGGGGGCCAAGAACAGTGAGGTCGGTAACAGTGGTAGAGATTTAATACCAACAAGATTTAATTCACTTGTTGAATGAATGAAATGCAATGCAAGATATTTTAATGTATTTTGTTAGTGTGTGTGTGCATTTAAAGCCTTAAAATCTGCTCTTGGATCATTTGCAGAAAATTCATAGAGGAGACTCAAAGAAAATGACTTTATCTTTCATTTAGGGAGCTCAACTAAAAAAAGCTTGAGAGAAGGCTCCTTTAACCTCAGAGTGAATATTCTTTGTAATAACAGAAAATAGGGGACTCCAAAACAGCTTTTCCGCTGTTTTGCTCTATATTTACTACTTCCCCAGTGATCTCCCTAGGCTCACTTTTTCTCTTGCAGCCAAAGTACAGTGTAGACTAGGAAAGAAAGTGCAGGACAAGGGACCTGCCTCTGGTTCTTTTTTTCTTTTTTTTTTTTTGAGACAGAGTCTCACTTTGTTGCCCAAGCTAGAGTGAATACCGTGGAGTCAGCCTAGCTCACGGCAACCTCAAACTCCTGGGCTCAAGCGATCCTCCTGCCTCAGCCTCCCGAGTAGCTGGGACTACAGGCATGCACCACCATGCCCGGTTAATTTTTTCTATGTATTTTTAGTCGGCCAATTAATTTCCTTCTATTTATAGTAGAGACAGGGTCTCGCTCTTGCTCAGGCTGGTTTCGAACTCCTGATATCGAGCAATCCGCCCGCCTCGGCCTCCCAGTGCTAGGATTACAGGCGTGAGCCACTGTGCCCGGCCTCTGGTTTTGATTATAACAAGTCATTCCCTTCTCTCCTGGGCCCCAGTTTTTCATTTTTATATGTTAGCATGACATACATAGTTTTTTGTAATTGCAATTAAATGACATGAGTTATTTATATACTTTTTTTTTTTTGAAACGAGAGTCTTACTCTGTTACCCTGGAGAGTGCTGTGGCGTCAGCCTAGCTCACAGCAATCTCAGACTCCTGGGCTCAAGGAATCCTCCTGCCTCAGTCTCCTCCCAACTAGCTGGGACTACAGGCATGTACCACCATGCCCGGCTAATTTATATATATATATTTTTTTTATTTATGTAGTTGGCCAATTAATTTCTTTCTATTTTTAGTAGAGACAGGGTCTGCTCTTGCTCAGGCTGGTTCAACTCCTGACTTGAGTGATCCTCCTGCCTTGACCTCCCAGAGTGCTACGATTACAGGAGTGAGCCACCGCGCTGGCCTATTATATACTTTTTATAAAGAAAGAATGGCTCAAAGAGATGGAGTGACTTGCTGAAGATCACCGATTAATATTTGGAGCCAAGTTTCTGACTCCAGGTTTCTTTCCACCACAATGGGTCGCTCCGATCTCCAAGCCCTAGTCCCTTCGCCCTCCTAATCAACTCCATGAAGGGGCAGGGATTTTTGCCTGGTTTGCTCCCGGCTCCGATCCCCATCCTCTACAACTCGGCCTAGTACATGGACAAGGAATTTTGCTTACTTTGAGCAGGCACTTACCACATATTTGTTGAATGGAAAAAAAATGAGCAGAGACGCGCCACAATTCGCCTTCTGACTTTGAGCAAGTCTTTTGCTGCCCCTTTCTGGATTTCATCTCTATCCCCTCCCCAGCCAAGACTCCTTCCCGTGCCTCCTTCGCTCCTCCGGCCACCAGGCGGCACCGTGGTGTTGGACCGCGCCCCGTAGAGAGCGGTGCCCTTCTTGGCCCGCCTGTGCCTTCGCCAGTCGGAGGGCAGGTCGCGAGGAACCGGAAGTGTCGCCGGCGCCGAGGCCGAGGCCGCTGCCGCTGCTTCTAAGTGCCGCGTTCGCCGCCTGGGTTGCCACCGGCGCCACCGCCGAGGAAGCTGCTGCATCCGGGACGGGAGTGGAGGCGGTGCGGCATGAAGCGGCGCAGGCCTGCTCCGTAACGCGCGTCGGGACGGTCCGGGCGGGGCCGGGGGGAAGGTGCGGTATCCACCCCCCTCCTCCCTCTCGCCCGCGGGGCCTGGCCCCGGCCCACTGGGCCCTCTCCGCCTCACGGAGGAACCGCCCGGCGCGCCCTCCCGGTCGGCCGGCTCTGCGGCTTGCCCGGCGCGCCGCCCTGCGCGGGGCAGAGCTGGTGGCGGGGCCCCTCTTGCCGGAAGAGGAAACCGAGGCTCTGAGATTCCAAGTCAACCAACGTTCACTGGGCGCCCCCTGAGCGCTGGACGCTGGCCTGCGGACTTCCACGTCCGTTATCTTAATTGAGCCTCGCTGGGGTTGGGAGGCTGGGTATTGTCCGGACTTACGGATGAGGAAACGGAAGCCCACAGAGGCAAACGGATTTGCCTAAAGTCCTACTGTAGCAGATGGGATCCGGGCTCAGATTTTCTGGTTTCCCATCTGGTGTTCTTTTCTCCCTCCTGCCTAACGCTAGATCGATTCCCTTCCTGCTCACTGCCCCCTCCCATTCTGTTTCACCCACCCTCAGCAGGATACTTGTCCTTCCTGTCAAACCTCTCCTCACACACTTTTCTCCTAAGACTTGGCATCTCTCCATTCCCCCTTCTCAACATTCTCTACTGTACTTCTCTTCTTCCTCATTTGTAGCTTTCGAGATCTTTGCCCTCTCTGTGATAATGAGCCTCTCAACTATCTGTGCACCCTGAAGAGTGAGATAGGTAGGCTTCAGTGAGGCTTGGGGTATTTAAGTAGACACGGGATATTTCAGACGACTCTTTGGCTCTTTAATTAAAAATGAAGGAATGTCTCTTGAGTGTGTCCAAACTCAAAAGTTTTGACGCTATTTTCTAAGCCAACATGCTCTTTTCTGAGTTGAGGGGCTTAGTGCTATGAGGAGGTGTCTTGACGTCTTAGTCCATTGTTGCTGTGCTAGCATAATTTCACTGTTTTTCCTCCACTTGCCACTCAGCTTTCCTCATAGCATCTGTCTCCCATCACCTACTTGGGCTATGGGAGCCCAGAATTAAAATTGATAACAAATAACAGGTATAATCACAGATCCTCCTTTTTTTTTTTTTAACTAAGCCAGAGTTTCAACAAGCTTAATGCTTCTTTTTCTGTGAAAGTTACCTATTTCAGTTAATTCTCAGAGTAATGCAGCAAGAAGCAAAGATGGAACACACTTAAAATGAATAGAACATTCTTTAGAAAAATTTTAAATTACTAAAGTCCAGTTCTCTTTCTGAAAAAGTAGATTGAGCTGTAATTCTTACTGGTTATCCTGTGGAGTTGATTCTGTTGATTATTATGTAAAAGAAGAACAGGAATAGGAATATAAAAATAAATTTCATTAATCATCTAACCATTTTTGAGGATTTGCAATGGCCACTGAGTAGTCTGACATCTGTATCCCTTTTATAATTTTAAAGCCTTTCCATAATTTTCCTTTTAATGTATGTCTGGACTTCAAGATTTACGCTATTGTTAGGATATTATTTTGAGTAAATTGGGCTACACATCTTCGAAATTAAATAATTTTAGAATTTTGGTAATGTAAAATGCAGATACAAAATATTAATAACCTAGACATATATTACTCCAAAAGATTGATATTTTTGTATCAATTTTAAGTACTATTTTGGGACTTTTTATATTTAATCTTTTTGGCCACATATGGTCCATTTTAATAATGAATTACAGTCTTATATCTTAATATTCTGGTGAGCAGGATTGAATGGTGAGAAAAGGACAGATTCCTGTGAGAGGAGAGCAGAATGAGCAGAGGGATCTATGCTTGAACTTGAGTCACTTGAAAAAGATCTCTTTGTATGTGGAAGAGATCTGCACAGATGAAAATACAATCAGGTAGGCACCAGGGAAGGTCCTTAAGTAAAGAGGTAGGTGGGGCAGTGAAATACATGCACTATGCTGAGAATGTGTAGGCTGACCCTGTTTTCCAATTTTTGAAATTGGAAAATTCAGGTCACGTATTTTGAGAATGTATTTGTATAGACAATGTCAGGGAATTCTGGAAATTAAATCATTTAGTTATACATTTGTGCAAAGTGCTAATGTTGTATAACATCAGGTCCTAGAAATGCAGGATATACATTTACTGTAAACATACGGAGTAGCAGAATGTCATTTGAACTGTATAATGTGTGTGTATATGTGCATGCACACATGCATGTGTTTAAGTATATGTGTAGAGAGAGAGAGTGAGCAGGAAATAGTCCAGGGATCTAGTATGATTTCAGCAATACCAGATAGTTTTCCTTAAATGTAAGCTAATGTACCTTTTACATAGGAGATAAGTGAAACAAATGATGATTCCAGAAGCTGGACAATAAGGCTTGGGAGGTCATTCTGTTGAGTTTACCTATTCTGTTCCTTAGCCCTATGCTTGCAAGCAGTGGTTTGGAGATGAACTTCCAAAGGCAAGGGAAGTTGAGAAAAATGAAGCCAATTTGTGTGCGTTCTTCTTTCATTTGTCCCTACTCAATTAGATATAAAACCAGGTCCATTGACATAATTGGTAGCAAGTAGGCCCTCCTACTAGCTTTTAGTTGCACAAACAACCACCACTCTCTTATATTGCCAATTAATATCAGTGTGTTGAATACCACTTGAGCTAAATAACTTACATCTCTGCCAAGCTGCCTTGGATTTTAATCATTGAAAGTGAATGCCCAGTTGTAATAATGTTACAACTATACCTCCTATAAGTGTCTAATAGGTTTTCTGGCCACTTTTGCTACTGTTATATTGAAAGTGATAGTGTAGGTCATTGTAGTATTAAAAAGGACATAATATGTGGGATACACAGTTCATTTAGTTCATTTGTATGCCAGTAATGCATGCTTGATGGCCTGATTCATAGCCCACACCTACTAATGACCTTTTCTCTGTAAGTTACTTACAGTGAACCATGTTAACCTGCAATATTGAGCTTTAAAAAAGACCTTATATTAAATATACAGCAATGTATTTATTGTTGTTATAGAAGTAATGTTTTAAATTTGGTTACTTAGATACAATTTAGTTTATCTCCCAAGTCCACATGTTTGACATTAGTTCAAAAGGAGCAAATTGCCCCAGAATTTTGTGTTGCTTCTTTTGGTAGTGTCATAAATAATGTAAGTTAGAATACACACTGGTTTATGGTAAAACTTTTTATTTTTTTCCTCTGATACTTTGCTCATGTTACATTTAAATGTTGGAAAAGATAAAGGAAAAAATCTTTTGGATTTGTACAATGAGAAACATTATTAGCAGTTATTAATAAACACTGTTTTGAGGCTGAACTAGTAAACTAGGTTCATACTTTTACCAAAATATTGTTGGTACAGATATTAAATCCTTTCTACATCAACTGCTTCACCTTAAAGCCACTTGAAGATAGTGTATTTTTTCTGTCCTTTAATCAGTATAAGTTGTATAATCAGCAGTAATAGTCACATAAGTTTCCTTAAAATGTAGAGTCACGCTACAAGTGGTCTAGGCAAACCTCAGAAATACCAGGGAGTTCAATATTTTGTTGTTTAGCATTGTATTTAAAAGGGAACTACATTATCTCACCCTAAAGGTTATTATAAGTCATTGTTTTCAACATTTTATTACTGTTCTAATTGGTTGTGGTTATTTCTGTTAGTCAAAAAAAATGCACATTTATCAGATGTGTTACATTTTTAAATACAAAAACATGTAACTCCCTTGGCACATTTAGCTTCACTATTGACATGCTTTTGGGTGGAACATAGCAGCCAACTGGCAAAAGGCCTGTTTCCTTCCAGTGTGGGAAAGAAAAAGGAATTTTGGCAAGAGATACCTAAGGAGAGCCTTTTATAAAAGTTCCCAAAGGGGTTTATACTCACTGTGAAATAGACATGACCTCAATTTCTTAAAAATCTCATTTTTAAGCTGAACACAGAGAAGGGGGAGCTATTGCTTTTCTTACTAGGTTTCATTGCAGCTGTGCTAAAAAGCATTTTTTTCTTGCCCTCTTCCCTCTTTTTTTTTTTTTTGGCCCTATCAGACTGTCATTCTGATAATATAGGAGAAGACAGGCCTGTGAACAGCTTCATTTGCCATCTTTTTCTAGGAAAATGCAACATGGCAGCAGCAATGGAAACAGAACAGCTGGGTGTTGAGATTTTTGAAACTGCAGAGTGTGAGGAGAATATTGAATCACAGGATCAGCCTAAATTGGAGCCATTTTATGTTGAGCGATATTCCTGGAGTCAGCTTAAAAAGCTACTTGCTGATACCAGAAAATATCATGGCTACATGATGGCTAAGGCACCACATGATTTTATGTTTGTGAAGAGGAATGATCCAGATGGACCTCATTCAGACAGGATTTATTACCTTGGTGAGTATGAAGTCATAGTTTCTGAGAGAAAATGTTTTAAGTCAATTAAAAGCTGAATATAATTGACACTCAAATTTTGGTGAATAAATAAATGAATCAGTGAGTTTGGATTCCATAAAAGGGGGAAAAGGGCTTTTAATTTGAAGAACTTGATTCTGGTTTGTCCCATTAACTTTATTTTTACTTGCAGGTAATAAATCATGAATTAATCATGATCTTTTTTCAAAGTTAAAGGTGTCAGAAATTGCTTCTTCTTTTTTTTTTTTTTTTTTTTTGGCCCTATCAGACTGTCATTCTGATAATATAGGAGAAGACAGGCCTGTGAACAGCTTCATTTGCCATCTTTTTCTAGGAAAATGCAACATGGCAGCAGCAATGGAAACAGAACAGCTGGGTGTTGAGATTTTTGAAACTGCAGAGTGTGAGGAGAATATTGAATCACAGGATCAGCCTAAATTGGAGCCATTTTATGTTGAGCGATATTCCTGGAGTCAGCTTAAAAAGCTACTTGCTGATACCAGAAAATATCATGGCTACATGATGGCTAAGGCACCACATGATTTTATGTTTGTGAAGAGGAATGATCCAGATGG